CTAATTGTAATAAATAAACCGTGTGAATCTCAACCCAGTTTTTGGTATAAAAGCACTATTGCCACCCATACATAGTAGGAAAGATTGAAAGCAGTGTTGGAAATAATCTATGAATTATGTATAGCATTTATCCATCAATGAGTCAGATGGGAATCACGGTCATTTATTATGCAAGAGTGTCAAATAGAAAATTAAGAAATAAATTCTGTTTGTCCCTAAAGAACCTATCTTTCTCATAAGACAGTGCTTATGCAGCTTTCCTCAAAAATCACAAATCATTTGTTTAAAGGTTGTTCAGATTTTTGTTGATCAGACTTGGAGTCCTATCTGGACTTAATGCCAATGGTAAATAAATCCCAAGGTGTTTAACGTTCCTTATCCCCCACTTTAAGTGGCTACAGTTCAATTGGCTAAGACAGATAAGGTACTTCTGGATGTACAGTCATTAGAGGTGGTATTCAGCAGGCTCTGACCAGTTCTGGAGAACCAGTAGCGGAAATTTTGAATAGTTCATAGAACCGGTAAATACCACCTCTGGTTGGCCTCACCCCCATCTATTCACTACCTCCTGAGTTCCAGCTGATCGGAGTCCCAGCTGATCAGCTGGGTCTTCTTTTGTTGCCCTGCACAGGAGTACGGATCTGGAAAGCAGGTTAGTGAGGTGGGGAGAGAATGGGGATTTTACAGTATCCTTCCCCTGGAGTGGGTTGGAAATGGGGATTTTACAGTATCCTTCCCCTGCCACACCCACCAGGCCACACCCACCAAGCCACGCCACACCCACCAAGCCATGCCCACAGAAACAGTAGTAAAAAAAAATTGAATACCACCACTGACAGTCATACCCATCAAAGCAGGATCTAAGGGCTGTTTTCTCCATGCTGATGTTCTGCAGATACACTGAAACTGAAACTAAAACTCCCACAGCCTGTGGTCAACATAGCCACAATCTCTGAACAGTGCCACTTATAAGCAGCTTTTAATAGGAAATAATAGTCCATGTCTCCCTTTATGTGTGGATTGTAAATGCTCTGTTGGCCACTTACTTTGGTGTCAGCTCAAACAGTGAACCATTCGCCTGAAATATGAGCATTAATGATTGAGACTGGTAGTGTTACATCCAGTGGTGAATACATCCAATGCATTAGGGTTTGTAATTGGCCTCTGGATTATGCTGAAACTGAGATAACTCTTCAAACAGAATACTGTACCATGAAAGTGAACAGGCATGATGGACTTTCCTATCTATCATCTTTCCAGCCACTATAATCACTTGAGTTCCTTCCAAGATAATGGATAAGAAACCCTTAATGATTTTTATCAACTTTGAAGCTCTCCTTGGAGTTGATCAGAATAAGGTGTTGGAATGGAGGAAGATGTTATGTTAATAGCAATACAGCTAAGGGACATTTAAATCCAACTGAATCAGAGACTGGGGTATGGAAAGGAAGCAGTGCCATAGGAATACAGCTGAACCAAAATGTTTTCAGGTCATGTTTATGCTAGAGCCAGGTGCAAGTTGGGAAAAGCCTAAATCCTGACATCAGTATCAAGTTAAGTCTTCAGTCTTCTGGAGCCACAAGCTGTCAGCCGGAGAAGTCAAGAATTTCTTGGATGGACTTGACAGAATCAGTTAACAAAGCTTCCTATCATTGCTCTTTTATATTGCAGTGGTACTGAATATTGCAGTATTCATCACCTTAGAGCCTATGTCTTCACACTTAAAATTTTGAGGTCACTTCATGCCTTTCCCCCTTCTTTTTGTGTTAAAAGACAACCTCTCTAAGAACTATTTTTAAAAAACACACAGGTGTTTAACCTTGCAGTTTGTCAAGCTTTCGATTTCAGACTTACCATGGTTGGCCTTTAATATGCCGTACCTTTCCCATTACAATTCTCTTTCAAGCCACCATAATGGGGAATATAAAACAGGTTCAAAGACTGTGCAGTGCCATTGAGACCAAATTGCTTCCACTGAGTATGGATGACCAATTCATCCACTGTGGTGGCAGCCTTTTAATCATGCTGTTCTGTTAAATAAGGGAGCTTGCATTTTAGAAGAGCCTAAAATATTAAGATTCAGAAAGTCAGAACTTGCTTTTAATACTCAAATCTCACTTTAATTCCCAGAAAATTATGTTATAGTGCATGATATCTCTCTTTGAAGAATGGTAAGTGGAAATCTACAAAGAGGATAAAGACCGTCTGCTACTTATTTATAGAAATAAAGCGAGCACAGTGGGGAACTTTTAAAAATGAAACTAATAGTGTCATGATACCAGCAAAGGTTATCATTGAGTTCCTTTATTAATGACATTTAATTTTTAATCAAAGCAGTGAGTTGCGATAGAGTGCATTACATATCTAGTAGAGGTAATTATTCATATCTGTATCCTGCTCCCTTAACGTTAATATTTTTTTAAAAAAATAGAAAAGCAGAAGGAGATACAACTCAATTTCTCAAGCATGGATTTTAAAGTGTTAAGATTTGTTTTCCTGAGATTCCTCCCCCCCCTCAACAAATGCTTAAGCCTCTCAGAAGAATAAGGCTGTGTTTGTGCTAGAGATTTAAGATTCTTGGTGCATTGTGTTTATGATGCAAAAGCAATTCAGATTCTAACAAAGCATTTGTACTGCCAATAATCTCACACGCTAAGTGCATACTGGTATTTCTTTGTCAGTAATCAGATACATTCCTTGGAGACAAATAGATCTGGCCTCTTGCCATGGATTTTGATATATAGTTTACCAGCACCCATCTGAATCAGCTATCATAGTTGGAGATTGTCTTGATGACAAGTTATCTCAAGAGAAAGCCATTTTCATTCATGAGGGGGCAGAGAAATATATGCTGTGACTCTTCTGTCACTATTGTGGACATTTTATTAACAATAATTAGGTGTCCTGATGATATTCTTATCTGATATTTTCACCTAATGGGGGAACACCACAGTTAACTATGGTTAAAATGTGAAAAGAATCCTCATAGAAACTTCAAAAACAACAAACGGTATTATAACAAGCAACTGGTGTTTTGAAATTATGGGATCACTCAAGGAGAATTACAGGAATCCTTATTTAAGCTTTTAATATGAACTCTCTTCTATGGTTTTCCCACTAACTCAAAAAGCTGGTTTGGACAAGCAGGTATGAACTTAACATGTACAATCAGACACATATAATTTGAGCAGTAAGAAAACACAGTATCATTGCAAAGTAGGGGGCAGGAGAAGGCCATTGTTGACAACAGAGTAGAAATATATTTTTTTATAAACAAATTAGTTCCATTCAAACTGTTATATTTACTTTCTACATTACAGATTCACCTTGTTTAATAACATTGTCACTTTTTCTCTGCGTTGCTAGGACATGAACCATCAGCAAAGAAACATCTCAAATGTACTCGCTTACACCTCAAAGTGTATGAAAGTCTCATTTTTAAGCCAATGCCAAAATTTGGCTCTGGAGAAAAAAAATCCAACACAACAGCACTTTCTCTTTGCATCATGCAATAGTAGGTAGGAGTACTAAAAAGCTGTGCTCTTCTCTACATTTGATGTTTTGAAGCTTAATTAGCAAATACAGTTATTCAAAAAATGGGGTTTGAACTGCTTGCTGTATATTTTTATAACCAACTAACTCTATACCCGTGCTTCACTATGACACTATGTGGTCAGGCTTACTTTTTGGGAAGGAAAATAAGGGGGGGAGAATTCTGCCTCTGCCTACCAGCATCCATCAGTATTCATCTGGCTAGTGTCCTGTCAGTGTGTGAGAAAGTTGAGGGATGTTTGGAAACTGAAAAAGTATTTGCTGTGTGAACAAGGAGACAGCAAGGAACCTTGGTGTGGCTTAGCTCAACTGTTCTGTACTAAAGCTGCTTGGTGCTGTGAAACTAAAACTGAAACTCCTCTCCTCTGCTTGTGTTTTGCAGGTGGATAGGGGGAGTAGAACTCCTTAGCATCAGAGCGTGTTAATAATAATATACAAAATATTGTTGGCCATTTCAAAAATCCTTTCTTAGTGAGCACCTAGAAGCCAAGAGGAACATACGTGCCAAATTTCAAGCTTGTAGACTTTACGGTTCTGGAGATTTGGTGATGATGCGTGAGTGGTATTTTGCTTTTATATATATAGATTGAACACAGTGGTATTGATCTTTCAAGCTTCTCATGGTTTAGGACCTAAAAGACACCTAAAAGACCATTCATGTCAAACCCTTCCCCATCCCTTCTATTCTAGGCCTCCTTGCCAAATGAATTGTGGCTGAAAGGAAACAGAGAAGAAAAGCTTTTTAGGATCTGGATCTCTGTTAATGGAATGGTTTTCCCATTGATGCTTATGCAATATTTATGTCACCATTCAAAAATGTTTCAGCTGAAGCTAGCCTTTTGCATGCTGGCACTACACTCCAAATACACCAGGATTACAACTTCCAGAAATATCAATTAGTACAGCCCAGAGGTGGTATTCAGCAGGTTCTGACCAGTTGTGGAGAACCGGTAGTGGAAATTATGAGTAGTTCAGAGAACCGGCAAATACCACCTCTGACTGGAGATTTTACAGTATCCTTCCCCTGCCACGCCCACCAAGCCACGCCCACAGAAGCGGTAGTAAAAAAAATTGAATCCCATCACTGGCACAGCCATGTTAATTGGGAATTCTGAGAATTATAGTCCCAACATATCTGAAGGCCTAAGACTGGCTTGCATGAATTTCTATGCTTGTTTACCTATTATTTAAACATGTCCCCTGTTTTGTAAATTGAATAATAGTTATTATTTATTTATGGTACATAAACCAAGCAGGCACCTTTTATTTAAAAATGTAATAAACTTGAAACCCTGTGGTGTGCTTGAAGATAATTCAACTCGTCTTTCATTTTTTGAAAGATGTATACAAGCATGAAACAACACTGGGTATTCATTCATTCATTCTCTGAAGCAAATACCAAATAAGATAACTCTTTTTTTGCTAGAAAAAGAGAAGTGAACGGAAGTCTACACTTGCAGGAGGAGAGCAACCCCTGCTAAAATCCATTTGGATGGTTTCTCTTTAGTCTTCAAGTTAAATGTCCAAATATAGGTAGGACCCCTTTGGCGAGTTTTATATACAGGACAAGGATATACGTTGCGTGTATCTTGCTTGTCAACAAGGATGGCTTTGATGAAAATAATCGGCATGGGTGGAGTCAAATCCTTCAGTCTGGCATCAGCAATTAATCCAGCCTGCAAAGAGTAATGTTTAAAGATGAGATATTGCTAACTCTGCCTATTCTTCTTACAGAGATGAATCATTCTGAGCACAGAACTTCATGAAAACAACCCGTTTTGATTACACTACCAAAATATTCATAACAGCCAGCTTCGCACTAGAAGCAGCACATTTGCCTCAAAGCAAGACATTTCACGGTTACACACTTAGAAGTGATTCGAAGTAAAGTATTTTGCACACCCTACCCTTAATGCTGTGTCCAGAAACTTCTGTGTGAAGTATGTTAATTTGTGCAGAGTTCTGAAAATAATGAAGCAACTATGTAATCACTTCTGTAGTTATTTAACTGTTCCGAATTAGCAAAGTTTGAACTCGTTAAAATAGGTTAATCCTTGTAAACATAAGTCTGAGCAATGAGTGGACCAGGAAGAGAAATTACTAAGTCACTAAAGTATTCAACAGCATCTCAGTAAATACTACCAATACCCGATTCTTGGAAACAGGAATCCAACCAAATATAACTGAGACACTCAACACTAGATGGAAGGTAAAAATACATATGTTTGTTTTTTCATTGGTACTGCTAATAGCAGCTTCAGAGAGGGCAACTTAGGTAAAGAAAATGTGACGCACATATACGTGGATTAAGCTCCTCTTCTCCCCATGCTGCTGCTCTGATCAGATTTGGACTTTTCTGCAATTGTTTTTAATCAGACATTAAAGCAGTGTGATATATTGCTTGAAAGGAAATTTTGCCTTTGCATGCAGCATTAGAAATACAAACTGATCACTGAACAGGCAAGCACAAAGCAAACAACAGACATCAAGCTGGATTCAAAAAAGCAGCAACTCCAAGTGCAGAGGCTAGAATAAAAAATGGAAAGGATTACAGGATTATATGATTATATTTATTTATCAAATTTATTACCCGCCCATCTTACCACAGGGTAATTCTGGGCAGGTTACAGTACTCTATTGTGATTATATATTCCCTAGCCAAAACAGGTGGTCCTCAATCTACAATCACAATTGAGCCCAAAATTTATATTGCTAAGGGAGAAATTTGCTAAGTGAATTTTGCCCCGTTCCACGACTTTTCTTGCCACATTTGTTAATGAATCTGGTATCCCCACTTATTTTGTTTGTCAGAAGATTGCAAAAGAACACTGCAACCATCATAAATATGAATCAGTTGTCTGAATGTACATCACGTGACCATGGGGGAATGCTGCAAAGGCATTGCTGTATATTTGTTGTGCATTGCTGTGAAAATTGGCCATAAGCCTCTTTTTTCAGTACCGCTGTAACTTTGAATGGTCACTAAGCAAAGTGTTGTAAGTTGAGGACAACCTATATAGAAACACGGAAAAGAGAGATGAGCAAAGCTATTAAAATGATATCCCACAAATCACTGTTTCCTTCTATATCTAAGCACCTCCACCTTTCCAGCCAATGATTAAAGATAGCTAATGAAGATGGAGGAGGAATCCCTGCATGGATAATTAATGGCAAAATGGGAAATTCACTAACATTCCATTCCTGTCTTTGCCTTAATTAAAGTAATGCTGATTCTCCAGAATATACCCTTCCATTAGATAGAAGGCAAAGGCAACTTGATAATTAATTAGCAATACAGAGCAAAATGAAAAGGATGATGTAGCAGTCTTGGTTGAACCCGATGGGTAAAGTCCCACCTGAGAATGTATGAGATTTACTCTAGGCTTTTGTGCTTTATAGTGTCTTGGAAATCCTGATTTAGTAGTACAAACTTGCTTCCATAAAGTTTCTCTTTGTTCTCATCTAAGTACACCCAACCAAAAAAAGTCTATCGGCAGCTTGGCCAGGCCTTAACCTGGTATAAAGAAATTCTAGACAATCCCTTTGGGGAGCAATTCCACTTTAGCAAGACATTTCCTTTTAAAGTGATGGCTACAATCAATGCTGACAGTTCTCCTCCCATCCTTTCCAAAGATTAATTTCTAGTGGATATGTATCCCAGAAAGATTGGCTACACATCACACAGTAACTAATTTTTAAACCGCCATCCATCTGACCCCCACAAGAATACATATGTTGCTATTGGATGGAAAATCAGGAGATTTACTTTAACACAAAAATGCTTTTATTCTCTCACCACATATATCCCTAGTTGGAAAAAGACATGCTTAAGCACTAAGAAAGAACATAATTATTTTTATGCTGTGCTTCACAGCAAAACATAAGGAATCTTTAAAATAGTTATTGTTTGTTCTTGTCAAAGACCAGATGAAGTCCCCACTGATTTTGCCTCAGTTGTGAAGCCTATGAACTCAAAGGACAATTGTTTGGGGAAGGAAAGAGAATTGATCTTGATATGTTTGAATAGTTTTGCATGAAAAGTTTTGTTATTGAAAAATTCTTCTTTGGTGAAGTAGCAAGGAACATCTTTTGAGATTTCTTTTCATGTCCCAGAAACAAGCTATTGTATCCTTTCTTCTATTCTATTCCTGAATATGCCCAAATGCACAAAATAATGGCCCTTTGCAAGCCTAGAATTATTGTCAAGTTTGGATAGCTCGTGTATTCTTGCATTGTAGAATTCAATACACAGAAATGGGAATTTATCCTACTGCTGCAAGAATTATCCATTTCCTGCTCAGATAGCTAGCTTCAATTTTCATTGTTTCAATTCTTTTTTCCTTTTTTCTGTTTTCCTTGGACCATCCAAGGACATCTTGTGTGTCCAGAGAGCCGGGAAGCGGGGGGGGGGGGGGTCTTATAGCCTCCAACAGATTGATTGCCTTTATACATCATGAAGCCCTTATTTCTTTGGGTGCCTTCAATGAATCAATAAACTTTTAACTTTGGGAAACCACCTATTGTGGTTCAACCTGCTTCCTGATGAATATTGCCTTGAGTCCCTTGGACATCCATGGACTGCCCAATTCTGGCAGGTAGAGTCAGAAATAAAGCCTTGTAGGGACTTACATGTGTAAAAGACAACAAAGCAGGATCTTGTCTCTTATACCAGCACTTTACTCCCTTGCTGCTGCTTCCTCTTATTATTTCCTTGAATTTGTCTGATTCCATTCCTTTTTGACTCTCCATTCCAAATTTATTCCACCCTCATTCCAGGATGGTTGATAATGATCTACTCAGACACTTAATTTCCTCAACATAGTTTGTGTTTTACAGCCACAAGTGTAACCCTTGTCCCTGCCTATATTGCCTCAGAATCATCTCTGGATAGGTAATCATCTCATGCTGAATTAATGAATAATTTTTTAAATTCTGTTTGATCTCTATACATTTCCAAATATTCATCATTCTGTAAAAAGGTACGTGTGTCACCTAATTTCTCTAAAGATCTCACTTCTCCTTAATAAGGAAAAATAAGGAATAACTCTTAATTCCTTATCTTCACTTTTCTCTATCTCTTGTACATTGTTATCAGGAATATTTGCTAATCCCAATGCTAGAATTACTAACCCACTCCTTTTGTACTATGAAAAATTGGGTGGGGAGAAAAAGAGAAAGTGCAGGAGAGAGGGAGGGAGGGAGAGAGAGAGAGAGAGAGAGAGAGAGAGCAGTTCATGTAGTGCAACACCTGATTATTGTTCCTGAGTTAATTTCATTGTTGTTTGCCAGTCTCAAATTTATTTCCCCCAACTGCTGAAATGTAGTGCACACTCTGCTGTGTTTTGCTGTACCTATAAAATATTATTACTGTTCTACAGTTCTAAATAATTCTCAAACTACATTTCAGTTCACGCACATGTGAAGGAGGACATATAGTCACATAAATATTGTAATGCAATATTTGTTAACTTGGATTACCTTTTTTAAGGACATAAAGATTTTCTTTTTAAAAAAGAACAAATGAAAAAAAGAACAGAAATAAAAAATGTACACAATACTGGGTTACACAGGCCCACATGCAAGCCAGTATAAAACAGTTTCTAATGTGGGGGACTTCCGGTGGTATTTCCATCATGGACAGATAGAAGTTTGCGATTATGTGCGGCTTTGATCCGTGCTACCCGCATTGGAGGGCTCCAAACAAAGCCAGAACCACCCTGTAGGGGTGGTGAAGAAGGGGGACACTGCCTGTCAGGTTGAGGGGAGCCACATCTCCCCTCATTGACTAGGGAAACTCCCTCCGAAGACGGGCTGTAGCGGTGGTCAGAAATGGCCACCCTGAAGACAGAAGGCTATTCAGGAAGTAAGATTGTGCTGGAGTGAAGAAGTGGGCAGTGTAAAGACCAGGCAAACTAGCTGAAATTTATGGATATTAAGATACCCTGGAATTAAACCAAAAAGGAATTTTAAGAAAGATTGCAATAGCGGCGACCAGAGAAAGTGAAAAGAAAATTTGGATATAAAGGAAAGTGGCTTTGAACTTTGAAAGAGCTAAATTGAAGGAGGAACTCAGAAAATAGAAGAAAAATTTGTTTAAATTGGATAAATATATGTTTTGGCACTAGACAGGCACAATTAAGGCTGAACTTGAAGGTGTCAAAAAGGGAAAAATCTGATAATTGGATCTATTGAACTATTGAAATTTAAAAGCCTTAAATTGGGAAAGAAAGTGAAAAGAAAGGGTGGAACTCGGACATAACAGAGTGTGCCACCTAATGGTAAAGGAAAATTTTAGTGATTTTTTAAAAAGTTCTTTTAAACTTGGAAATTGATACAAAATCGATACAAAATAAGAGAAACTTTGTTATGCTAACATTGAAACCCTGAAAAGTGAAAACACAGAATATTAAGATAAAAGGAAAAAACATGAAGAAATTACTTTGGGTTTGTTTGGTGATTTTGACACAAATTTAAACTTATGGATATTGGATTATTTGATGATTTTGGAAAAAACTTAAAGAGGAATTAATAGAAGCTGATTGTTGGAAACAAACATCAAAGACGCCAGCTGAATTAAATTATTGGATAACTGGTTTGGAATTAAATATTAAAGAAAAGGACAGAGAAAGAAAATCTAAAAGAAGTGTATAAAAATGGCAGAACTCCTCTTGGAACTTAATTAATTAATATCTTTATTTAACTGGACTCCAAAAGGCTTGTTAGAATGATCAGCATAATCAGTTCTAAGGTTACTGGTACACATTTTTGTTGTTAAAGTTAACAAGAATCAGACAATTACGAATCGCTGATATAGTCTCTCAAATGTTGCTTACATATTTTTAATTAAATTTTGCTTTATTCAATGATATTTTTAGTGTATCACCCATACCTTGGGAAATGCAGAGTCTAAGGGATCTATGGAGATCGTTTAGATTATTACAAAATCCCCTTTCCCAAAATTTCATTTTATTGTTTTTATTGTTTATCTGTGTTCATTTTGGTGTTTGGATTTGGGGTACATTAAGATTGCACTAAAAGGCAAAACTTTAGGAACTCCTGCCCTAGAGTGATACAACATCTGAAAGAAATTAAGGGAAAGATATCCTAGAAAAACAATCAAATACTGTAGTTACAGCTCCTTGATCCTCCAGGTGGACTTTGAAGAGGAAATATAGGGAACAGCTGCCTCTAGATGCAGCTCAGCAGCTTGGAGCGTAGCCATGTTTATGAACATGATTCCCAAGAAACACAACAGTCTGAAAAAGAGATTTGGAGGACCCTGGTGTTTTTCCCAGCTTTTGCTACTCATCTGAGTTTCCAGTTACCATCCAGATTCTTTAGTACCTTATTCTGATTGCTGGACAAGAGCATCAGTCTTACTCTGCCATGCATTCAAGTGAATTCTTATCCTCTTAACAGGAAAATGAATGCCATCCTTCACTGTTCTACCTGCTCAGACTTAGCCTTTTTCAGCTTATGCTTACACCTTTTAAAAGCTCCATAGGGCCCCCAGCCTCTGAACTCCTAGCCTTGGTTCCTCTTGCTGGGGCTCATGCAAGGTCAAAGTGCTGAGCAATGAGATGGCTCTGACCTGATACTCTGAGATGGACAAGGCTAAAGAATAAAAGACATTGATTGCAATGTTTCAGAAATGGGATAAGAGCCAAGAAGCTTTTCAGCTTCAAGGCTAACAGCACCAGCTGTTCCTTTGGCAAGGGTTTTCTGTGTTTCCTGCCAAAAATAAAGAGTTGTGGAGTGGGAGGTAGAAGAGGTGTAAAGCACAATATAATGCACGTGTAATGCCTGTGGAAATGCAAATTCTGACATCAGTAATTTTGCCTCCTTCTCTTTAAAGCATGGGTTTTTGGGGTAAGCGTTTCAAGGTCTCTGGTGGGAAGAGGATGGAAAAATAAAAGTTCACTGAGAGCACAATAATCACAGCACAATACCCAAATAGTTTATATTGTCCTATTTTGTTGAATGCTTATTTTCAGCATACTTGCTTTGGTTCCATCCATTATATTTAAATCTACTTTTTATCCACACCCTGGATGACTGAAAGTAGCATAAATGAAACCCTGCAATTTCTTTTTAAAATCCAAAATGCCTCCTGTGCTGCTTTCAAAAACATCTCCTGTATTACTGGGACACTGAAGGAGTCTCCACTGTCTCCATTGTCAATTGGGAAAACTAGAGAGGTGGGCTCAGGATCACAGAAGAGATGGGGTGGAGAGAGCAGCTGTGGAAAATCTAAGCTTCCTAAAGGAGTCGGATCCACAAATAAAGGTCCAGATTAGGCCTGCACCCTGGAGCTGTCCCCTGCTTGCTTTTTATTTTTTTTAATTATTTGATTTGTCAATTGCTTACAAGATAATAGGTGTAAGTATAAGCATGAGTAAGAACACAGGAAATAGAGACAAATAAATAGGGACAAAAGGACAGGGATGGTAGGCACGATTGTGCACTTATGCATGTCCCTTACAGACCTCTTAGGAATGGGGTGAGGTTAATAGTGGATAGTTTAAGGTTAAAGGAGTGGGGGCTAGAGGATGTAACAACAGAGTCAGGTAGTGCATTCCAGGCATTGACCACTCTGTTGCTGAAGTCATACTTTCTGCAATCAAGTTTGGAGCGGTTAACATTGAGTTTGTATCTGTTGTGTGCTGTTGTGTATTGTTACAGTTGAAGCTGAAGTAGTCATTGATTGGTAGGACATCGTAGCAGATAATTTTGTGTACTACACTTAAGTCCAACTGTACGCTTGCTTTATAGTCTCTTTAAGCCTATAACTCTATATAGGCTGATGGGCTGGACAGTTCTTTGGGTCCCAAGCTAGGTGACCATCTAGCCAGAGAACTGCAAAGACACTTCAGAATTTTTTTAAAAAATGGGCACAGTTCTTTCCAAGCTGCCATACGTGTCTCACAAACGAAAAGCACAGAGGAGATCTTTTGAGGTCTCTGCTTCTTGTTTAGCTATTTGACACAGATTTCTTCCTCTCTGAACATGCAAGCCGCAGCACAGAAATGAAAACCCATTAAAAAGTGTAGAAGCAAAAGCTAGGTCAAATGAATTGGCAAGGCATTGAAGTTTATCCTCCCCATCCACGTTACCACCACCACCACCTTCCGATATGTGTTTTATTTGCCACTTGAAACAACAATCAGCTCTAGCCTGGCTTTAACAATTTCGCCTGAAATGTTCCACACACTTTGTTTTTAATGCAACCTTACCAGATCAGAACTGTAGGGGGCGTGCATAAGCGCACCATCGTGCCTACCGTCCCTGTCCTATTGTTTCTCTTATTCTTCTTTTATTTTTCTTATATGTACCCATTTCATGTATTCACAACTATGTATACACTTATACTTATTATCTTGTAAACAATTGGCAAATCAAATAAATAAATAAATAAATAAATAAATAAATAAATAAATAAATAAA